CTGATGCTGAGGCAGGCTGAGGCTGAGGCTGAGGCTGATGCAGGCTGAGGCTGAGGCAGGCTGAGGCTGAGGCCGAGGCTGAAGGCAGACTGAGGCTGAGGCTGAAGCAGGCTGAGGCTGAGGCTGAGGCAGGCTGAGGCTGAGGCTGAGGCTGAGGCTGAGGCAGGCTGAGGCTGAGGCTGAGGCAGGCTGAGGCTGAGGCAGCTGAGGCTGAGGCCGAGGCTGCAGGCAGACTGAGGCTGATGCAGGAGCAGGCTGAGGCTGAGGCTGAGGCAGGCTGAAGCTGAGGCTGAGGCTGATGCTGAGGCAGGCTGAGGCTGAGGCTGAGGCTAATGCAGGCCACTGCGACTGTCATCGCGAATGCGACTACGACTGCGAGAACAGCAGAACTCTACAACTGGATTCTCATCTGAATCTTAAGGGGGATGCTTCCAGATATGCTCCTACACATCGCTGTTAGGTTGCTTTGCCGGGATAATTTGTATTTTTCGTCGACATTCCCCCTGTAGGGGACACGCCCGACATAAGTCCAGTGTCTCGAGCCGGGCGCGTTGTCGCCCGGGCTCCGGCCCCGGGACCCTCGCAGATCAATGCGGCTCGGAAAGTGGCGCGTAGAGATGGGGTCGGGACGTCGGTTGTGATGTTGCAATGTGTTCGATACGTCGATACTCTAGGCCTCCCCGCTGGGGTCCGAGTGGATGGAGTCGAAGGATCGCGCCGCATCGCCGATGCATCGGCGATGTGGGTCGATGTGGAGCCCGATTTTCCCCACGTCGACGTCGCCGATTTACTTCCGACGTCGACCATGCATCGCCTATGCATCGACTATGCATCGGTGATGCCGCGCGACCTTCCGATCCCATCTACTCTAACCCCATTTGGGAGGCCTCTAGGTGCGGGGATTGGCTCCCGGCGCCCCCGTGGCCACGGCTGTATCCGCCTCGAAGTTCTCCTCAGAACGCACCCCAGGAGAGCTCCATGGGAATCGATGTTTGACCCCTGGCTCACTGTGATGTTTGAGGTTCGAGGGATTCAGCCTCGGGATATTCTCCGGCAGCTTGGGCCCACCGAGAGCGTTTTGGGGTTGTCCGGATCGTCCCGAACGACCTCCCCCCTCGTTTCTCTCGGCGGGGATCAAACTCGCCCCTCATCCTCTTCCTGCTGCTCCCTCCTCCTCTTCCTCCTCCTCCTCCTCCTTGTTTCCTCCTCCTCCTCCTCCTCCTCCTCCTCCTCGTCCTCCCCCCTCTCCTCCTCGTCCTCCTCCTCCTCCTTCTCCTCCTTCTTCTCCTCGTCCTCCTCGTCCTCCTCCTGCTCTTCGTGGCCGTTATCGTAATCGTAGCCGTCGTCGTCGTTGCGGCGGAGATGATTGAATTGCTTCGCTCATTCCGCTGGTCTATAGGGAATTGTGTTTTCTTATTTATGGGGGCTCTCTCGGGAGGCTTCTTGGCGGCCGCTGGGGGAGTCTTGAACGCGTCGCGGGCCGTCTGGAATCATTTTGCCAATCGGGTTTTTTTCAGGAGGCCTCTTGGTGGCCTCTTGGGGACTCTTCAACGCGTCGGGTCGTTGGCACTTGCTGGCGTGCTCGGGGGGTCATTTGGGGGGGCCTCCTGGGGCCGTTTGGGGGCCTCTTGGGGGCCTCCTGAGGGCCTGTCGGGGGCCTCTTGGGGCCTCTTCGGGGCCTCTTGGGGGCTTCTTAGGGCCGAGGGCTCGAAATGTTGTTTCGTGTTCCTCCCCTGGGACCTCTCTTGGGGCGTTTTTGGGGCCTTGTTGGGCCGTCTTGGAGGCCTCTTAGGCCGTCTTGGAGCCCTCTAGGACCGTCTTGGGGCCCTCTTGGGGGCCTCTTGGGCCCTCTTGGGGCGGTCTTGGGGGGGGCCTCTTGGGCCGTCTGGGGGCGTCGGGAAGCTGAAAAGGTGAAAACGCCAAAACTTCTTCAACACCAAAAGAAAAGCAATGAATTTTGCCTCTTGGGGCCCTCTTGACAGTGCTCTTGGAGGCCTCTAAGCCCGTCTGGGGGCCATCCTGGGCGTCTTGGAGCGATCTTGTGGCATCTCGGAGCTCTCTTGTATCATCTTGAGGGGCTGTTGGCGGCCTCTTGGCCTCTCTCGGGGCTCTCTGGACGGCCTCGAGGGCAGCGCCCAGCCATGTCTGACCCGAATCGCCCGGGACCTGCCCGGGGTACTCTTCGTCCGGGAACCCCCGGGGGCCGCCCCGCGCGCGCGAAGTAGAATTGCCCTAAAGCAGTTACCTGAGATCTCAGCACGTCTCTGGCCTCGGGGGCGGCAAAGAGGGGAGTGATGACTAGGGGGGGGTGGATATCATGGCGTGGGCCATGATATTTCCCCAGATCTCTTTTTTCGTTACGTCCCTGGCCCCCCCGCTGGGCCGCGCACATGCCGCCGGTCATGATTTGCACCCCCCCGTCTTGGACACCCCCGTCTTGGCCGCTCCCGATGGCCCTTTGGGCCGGCGCATTTTCCCTATATCGTTGGGCGGGTTGGATAATGTTAGGGGGTTCTGCCTCCCAGGGAATGGTCCATGGCTGGCTACCCTAAACGCGAGAGGATGTGCGAGCATCTTCTGGTGGGGATTGCAATCGGAATCAGCGTTTGTGGTTGTAGTCGTGGTTGCAATCGTGATTGTCATCGTGATTGTAGTCGTGATCTGTGTGGCGGAAGAACGATGATTTTTTTTATTGGTGGGGCTCAAGTCAGTCAATCTCAGCGTCGAACTGATAATTCGTTCCCATTTTAGGGAGGGAGTTCTGCAGACCCTTCCCGGTTATGCCCCGAAAACCCCGAAAACCATCAGGGCACCCCTGAATTCACATTCGTCCCCGACGAAGGCCCGATAGCCCGCCCCGCGCAGGATTGCTCGCATTCGCTGTCGGTGTCCTATCGCCGATCTATCGGCGATGTATCGCCGATTCCAGCTCGACATTCCCCTCCTGAACTGGTCCCCCCCTCGCGTTTCCCCTCAACGCTGTGAAGAAACCTCACAGTCCTGGCGTCGCAGTTCTTTCCTACTGGGCGACTCGCCCCACTCAGAGCCCAGAGACCCTCACAGACCGATCCGTCGCGGGGCCTGCCGCAGGAAGGTCGGGTTTGGGTTTCTGTACACCATGTTGCAGTGGTTCGCGACGTCGGATCTCATCGGACGGCCCTGCGGGAGAGGAGCCCAAAGCTTGTCGCCCCGTTCGGCCTCTCGGGGCCCCTCCCCTGGGCCCCGTCGGACCCGCACAGAGAAACAGCTCGGGATGGGAAGGCGGCCCCGGTGAAACCCAGATGTCCGGCGATCCGTTTTTTTTAATCCGTGAGTTGTTCCTTCATTTGGTTTTCTGGGGGCCCTCACTGTGGGCCCGTGGGCCCTCAAACGTTGACCCGGGGCGGCAGACTTGGACCTGGGAAGGGGTCGGGATCTCTGTGGCCGCACACTGAAAGAATCACACCGTCAGATGTCTGTGAAGCCTTGGGGTCCATGAATGAAGGGGCCCCAGGACACGCAAATAAATACACACAAATAAAACAAATCCCCATATTTTCAAATATTTTCTGGGTTTCTGTCTTCCCCCCCACTTCCCATATTTCCCGATATTTTCTGGGGAATCGAAGATTAATTGTGTCTGTGTGTTTCTTTTTCTCCAGAATGAACCGCTTACCTCAGGACCCTTCCTTGAGATCCGAAGTCGGGGCAATTGCAGCATGGTGGGACACCGCGGCTGGAACTCCGGCACCAGCTTCCTGCGCCATTTCTAGAGCCGGATCGATCCGTGAGTCCAGGCCTCCGGGATGGGGCCGGAGTAGACGGGATCGGAAGTTCGCGCCGCATCGCCAATGCATGGACGGTGTGGCTTGATGTGAAGCTCGCTTTTCTCCACGCCAACCTCGCCGATGCATCGCCGACTTCGCTGATGCATTAGCGATGCATCGGAAATTGGCGCGATCCTCAGACACCATCTGCTCGGACCCCATCCGGGGCTCGAGATGGGCCGAAAGCATCCACCAAGAACAAGTGCTACGCCAAACTTTCAGGTCATTCCCCCACGGTTACCATAATTGCCCCCGACACCATTTTTTCATAACGTGGACCCCCACAGGTCTGGACCCATTCCTGGGGACCATCCTTTCATCCAGAGCCGTTTCTTAACGGGCCCAAGGCTCGGCAAGGACCCCCGGAAGCCAAACATATAGAAGCACAGTCCGTAGTTGTTTTGCCTGGCGACACGAGGGGGTCTGCATGGGGTGACAGGATATCTCGGAGATCCACCAGAACCTCGTCTGCAATTGCATTCCCGTGCTGGAGACCACCAGCCGTGCCCTGTTCATCTGGGACATGTCGCTGGCGGTCCTCCTTTGTTCCGTGGCGCTCATCGCCCCCTACGAGACTGCATTCCTGCAGTCGGAGCTTAACATCTTGTTCGTCTTCAACCGGACCGCTGACTTGCGGCCGGATCTCGGACAAGATGCGATGTTTGTCAGCCGGCGGTGTTTCGTTGATCTCGGCCCTTGCAGGGCTCGTTTCGATTCCTCCGATACGATTCGATTCGATGGCTTCCGATTCCGACTCGATTCGCCTTCGGATTCCGATTTAGATTCAGTCAGTTTTTCCATGGAGGCCTTCTAGCCTGCCGATTTCTGTTGATTCGACTTCTACCGACTCGGCTGCCGATTTCCGCCGATCCGATTTACTTCGAGCGCCGATCCGATTTATCGATTCGAGTCTGGGCTCTCTTGCTCTTCGAGGGCCGTCGCTGGGCCCTGGGACGATCAAGAGCGGACTCGGGGCGCGAAGTTGCCACCTAGCGGAGTGGGTCCAGCAGGATCGCCGACCTGTTCTTCATCTCGGAGAAGGAAAAACGTGCACGCACAGAAAGTGTTCGTGGGTCCGCGTGGACGTCCTGGGTCTTTAAGCTGGGCCCCCCCTGGCGGCGCCTCTGGCGCGCCCGCGAGCCAGTGGAAGGGGCCCCAGCGCCGACCCAAGAGATCCGCGCGGACCTCCGAAAGTTTACGCTCGTGCCGGCTTTCCGTTTTCGACCATCGGCGACATCGCGGTGCAGTTCATCACAGCGCAGCCAGACCCCGCGTCCCCGGGCAACTTTTTGCGGCGACCCAACGAAATCGCATCGGTCTACTTGAGGAGCCGCCGTTGTCCTTCCTCCTCCTCCTCCTCCTCCTCCTCCTCCTCCTCCCTCCGCCGTCCTCCGTCCATCACCCTCCTCCCTCCTTCTCTTCTCCCAAGTGCTTGTTTTCGAACCATTATGGCAGAGTTCATTCCTGTGTGCCTTCCCGCGGTGCGTGAGGGATTCTGTCAGGAGGTCCCGCCGAGGAACCTCGCCCATACCTTCCAAAACAAAACATAACCGTTTCGCGATTCTGGATGGCAGGTGCTCGCCTATGGAGTCTTTGCGAGCAGCGCGGGTCATGCGAGCGCCACGACAGTGTAGCTGTGCAGAAGCACATCTGCGCAGCATGCGGTGCAACAGTCAAGCATCTTCTGAGCCGCCACGTGGTCAGCAAGTGATTTTCGATGTTGGGGAGGCCTCTCCCGTTCACCCGCGGGCGGGACCCTCCGCTCGCGGAGCGCCTCGTCCGACGGCGGAATCGGAGCGGGCAGGGGTGCTCGCGGGCAGGGCGCCGGGCGGAACGGCCCACGGCGGAAAAAAGGGCCAGCAGCAACATGGTCTGAACGCCGAGCTGTCCACCATTGCAGCCTGCAGCCGCCGCCGCCATGAAAATGAAGCGATGCAGTGCACGTAGCCTCCAGGGTCAGGTCCACAAGCTTGAAGAGGTCACCGTGTCCAGCAAGGGGTCGGCTTCTGTGGTCGAGGCTTTGTGAAGGGCCGACGCCCATTACAGGAGTGCGGACCACAAACACAACCAGTTTGTGCAAAACGTGATCCGCCTCAGGACGTCGCTCGTGAACGCGGGGGCGGGGCCGAGACAGCAGCCATTCTTGCAATTTCCCTCGTGGCGCGGCGCACAGGCAGTTGCCCAAGCTGGGGGCGCGGTGGCCCAGCCAGACGGCGCCAGGAGCAAGGAGGGCGAGGACCAAAGGAATTTCAGAGAATGGTCTTGGACACTGACTGCTTGTCCAAATTGAAGACAAAATGTGCGAAGAGACCGAGTGCAAGGGGCCCAAAGAGATCCACGAACGCCTGCTGGTGGCCGAGCGCGGGATGGCGGCCAAGGGAACCGAGGTGCGATGTTGACCCAGCCGCGTGGAGAAGTACCGCTAGGACATCACCAGCCGCATGAAGAGGACGCGTCGTTCCGTTGATGGCGTTGGAGTTCGGGCTGACGCAGGAGCTGGGGCCAATGGTGCTGGCAATGACGCCCAGGGGGCCGCCCGGGCTGCGGCCGCCCGCGACGCCGCCGGCGGGCGCGAGTGGCCCCGCGGCGGCGGCGTCGTCTCCATCAGCAAACGGGCACACAGAGCCCTTGGTCGAGGAGATCGCGCTCGAGGCGGAGCGGCTTTCTGAGGCCAGGTTCCCAGCCGAGGCGCTGGCTTCGGCGTGGAAAGGAAAGGGCAAAGGCGCTGACCCAGGTGCCCACGCCGCCACAGCACGTCGCGAGGTTGCCCCTCGGCGCCCGCGGCTCCAGCGGCCCCGTCACGACCGGGCTCCGAGAGGGGCCTGAGGTCCCATCGTCGCATCCTGGACTCGTCTGGTCAAACAACAACCCGCGTATGAGGGGTAAGTCTTGGCCCTGCGTCGACGCGCCTCGGCGCGACTTCTGACGCGCTCGCAGAGGCGCGCGTCCACACTGCGGTTGGCCATTGCCAGTGGGGAACGATGCGCCGTGGAAACGGGCCCCGCATGATCACCAATGTTGCCAGGCAGCGCGGGAAGACAGGCGGCGTTTTCCAATGATGGGGTTGAACGACTTCTCGCTTGCCGACATCGCTAATGGCCTCGCCTGGCCGCAGTCAACTCGGTCGGGCCACGTCTACGCGATCACTCCAGCAAGGCCCTCGACACATCTGCCGCCACGGTGGTTCATTCCCAGGGTTTTTATGTCCAGCGTCGCTGTCGCGCCCCATTATCATTCGAGCGTTTGTTTCAATGGGCGAGCGTCGGGCGCGTCAAAAGGCTGAAGCCTCTCGTTCGCGCTGCAGGCCGCGCATTGGAATTGGCGGTGTCAACGCGAGCCCGCAGGCCTCTGCAAAACTGGTGTTGCGGAGAAACACCAACCACGGGTGATAGCGGAGCTACTTGTAATTTCGCCATGGGAACGCATGTCGCTCGGCGTTTCGTTCTTCAGGTAGACACGCCAGTCGTGGCCCCATGGGGGCCGCGCATCGGCTTAGAAGCTTCGCTTCGCTATTTTGGTAAGGAGCTCCTGCCCAGGGCCAAGGTAGGCCCCGCTAAATTCACTCAGGTCCAGAGTCATTATGTTGCCCCCGCGGCTTAACTTCGCGTCCAGCACGTCGAAAGCTCGCAGGCAGGTCCAGCATCGGCCGTGGAACCCCGTCTCGACACAACGCAAGCACCGCGCGAGGGCCGCGCGCAAGTCTCGGGGGGCGCATCTGTCACGGAGGGGCCCACGGGGTGAAGAACCCTCCTCTTGCGAAGTCAGCGCTTGTTTGCGGGCTGATCTACATGACAAGTTATGGCTTCCTTTTCCGGAGTGGCCCGTTCGAAGAGGACCCGCAGGCCGAGGCGCTTCATTTCTGCCCAGATTCTCTTATCTGCGCAGGGCCCCAGGGCGCCGCGCGCTTGGCCCCCGCGCTGGGGGCCCTCCTGCGTCGGGCGTTGGCGTGGCCGGCCCTTGTCTTGCCGCGAGATCGTCGCGCTCCGTCACCGGCCGCCCTCTGCCCGGCGCGACCCTGGACTCCCCGGCCCGCGCGCGAAGTTAGTTCGGGCGCGCGCGTCGGCTGAGCGACGGAGGGCGATCTTCGGGCCGGTCAGCCCTGAGCGGCTGGAGTTTCAGGATCCTCGCCCAGACTTGGGCACGGAGTCGGCGAGCCATGGGCTTCCCATCTGGCCAGTGCTCGCGTCGACCCATTGCGTTTGCCCTGCGCGGCTTCGTTGCCCTCGGGGTCAAGGCGCCGCGGATCGCGGCGGCCCCTGGCGCGCGACCTGTGGGGTTCGGTCGGCGAACGCGGCGCCCCCAGCCATTGCGGCAACCTGGTCGCTATTGGCCCTCGGCCACGCGCAAAGAGTTGGTTTGGGTTTGGCAGATTTGTCTCGGCTGCAGGGGGGATCTGCGCTGGCGGCTGGAGGCGCGCAGCGCGGCGGGCGTCGGCGGGGCGCAAGGAATTCGCTAGTGAACGCAAGTCTTTGCGCAAGCTGCACGATGCTCGCAGTCATGTACGTCGGCCCGAGCTGAGCGCGACGGCCGCGAGATCTTCGTCGACCCCCGCGACGCGCCCGATGCGAAGGCAGAGCAGCGGCGCGGGTCGCGGCCCCCAGCGCAGCTCGCGGAGGACGGAGTCCAGGCCACATCTAGCGACGCCCCGCCTCCGATCTCCACTGCGACGGACATCGAGCGGGCAGATCGGCCGACGCGAGAGCCCGCGAGCACGGGGGTGGACTCGAGGGTGCCCGATGAATCGCATGCCGAGCTCGCCAACGTGAGCGATCCAGGCTTGAAATGCACGTTGGGCGAAGTTCGCGACATACAATCATTCCACGATACAATAGAGCGACCGAGAAACATAGTTCGAGGAGTTCTTTGGATGAGACCCCCGCGAGCTTTGCATTCGGATCCGCTGCTATGTGCGCCGCAGGAAGTTCTCGCTCAGTTCGGGCCCCGTCGGATCCGTTGTAGCCGGCGATGGGGCACGGCGCAAGGATAGACCCGTCGCGGCGGCCAGTTGCGTTCAGGACCCCCCCCCCATCAAGTTCGAGGGTCTTGGGCAGCATCCCGGCATCATTACTGCGGTCGCGTTGCGTTGCGCTGGACCAATGCGCGGCGTCTGTTGCGCCAGTCGCTGCGAGCGCTCCTCTTGCTGAGCGCCATTGGGAGGGCTGCCTTGTAAGTGGCACTCGGGGGGGGGGTTCGCGCGCTCGCAGACGCGCCAGCATCCCGCGAAGGAACCGGGGCGAACGCCAAAGTTAGAGGCGCTGAGCGGGCGGCCACGCGGCATCGAGAAACATCTTGGTTGCAGCGTCAGGACGCCCAAGCTGCGCGGAATGTTTGTCTGAAGTCCCCGGGGCGTTCGGCCAGCGACTCGCCGCAGTCATCGCGCGAGGAAGGCGCCCAACCGCCTCGATTGCTTTGCGTTTGCCGAATCAAGATGTTTGGATGTGCGGCTGGCATCGCGGTGCGATCATTCAGGGGTGCCGGGCGCGAACTGGAGTTCGTCGCACGTGGGCGGTTGTTGCAGATCGACCCTGGGCAGCACGAGCCTTCAGCCGTTCCAGGTGGGTTCGATAAATCACCTCGGTTTCATTCTTGCACGTTGCGGATGCGGGCTGGTCTGAAACGGAGGCGACTGCATGGGCGGCGCCCGAGGGACATGCCACCGCAAGAGATGATTGGCGTCTCGACGATCGCATGCGCAGCGGCGGCTCGGCAGTCGACTCGCGCGGGCTTCTCGCGGCGCTTTGAAGACGTTCTCACGACCAGGCAGCGCAACACAACCAGCCAGCACTGCCGGGGAGGTGGCTTCGGGCACAACGTTGGTTCTGAATGTTACCGCGAGTTGTCTCAACAGATCGGCGAATCACTTCATTGCGGACATCGATTGGCGTAGACTCCGCGCGCGCTGTCGGCGGGCCCTGAATGGCCAAGAGCTCGGAATGAGGATGATATTCCCAGATGCAAAGTGACCGCCTTCTGCCCGCACTGCCCAGCATTTCCCGAAATCTGGAAGCGTGCGGTTCGGCCTCCGTGCAAAAATACGGCAGCGTTGCGCGGTATCCCCAAACGATGCAATCCCCGAGCCTGAGGCCTATATGGATTAGCATTTTTTGGCTCAGAGTGATGATGCCCAGCGACTTGGTTGCGGCCCCACCGTTGTCGAGCCAGGAGGGGGGCGGGTCGCGGGTGCGGCGTGCAAGCTGGCATTTTTCTATACATGATCGGCCTTTTCTGCTGCTTGGTGACGCCAGCGGGGCCCCCGGCGTGGCGAACAAGAGGTTCCGTCGCGCGAATTTCGATTTATTTCTGTTTCGAGCATTGAGCTCGAGGTGGGTCTTGCACCCGCGACTCCAGGAACGCTTGCTGGGCCGAGGCAGGCAGTGCCACGGAACGAATTCTTTTTTTCGTTCTCGCCTGCTTGGACACCACAGGCGCACTAGCGCATTCGACTGGTTGCGAGGTCGCCGTTGAGGGGTGGTTCGCCCACCAGTGGGCCGACCCCGCTGGCGAGGACAGCGGCGCGTGAGTTAGTCTCCGGAATCCCATGCCCCATGCAGACGCGCGATGATAGTTTGATCACGGGCTTGGCCGCCCGCTCTCGTCACGTTGGGCAGGCCACTTGCGGGCGCAAGCACACCAGATGGATGGTCCCAGGTAATCGCGATGTCGACAGCTGCGCTGCTGACAACCCGTGGCCCCCACAAGCTGTCAAAAAAGGGCGTGTGTGCACGAACGCTGCGTGTGTCTGGTGTGGCTGAGAGTGTTGCGGTCGACGATTGGCGCGATGACCGCCGCTGCGCTCTTGAAGAATACAAGGGCCACCGCGGTTAGTGGTCCGTCCTCCGTTTGCCACTGCCCTCTCCCATTGCTCCTCCGCCCACCGTCTGGACGACAGCAGGCGGAGATGCGACAGGTTTGGAGGTTCAGCTGCAAATTGCCGTCTCGCTGAACGGCGCACGCCGCCACCCATGTGCTGTCACAAACCCGACTCACAGTCGTGTTCCCTCCTTCTCTTCTTCCTCCGTCCTCCCTCTTTCTCCCCCATCTTCTCTCGCCCCTCCTCCTCCCCCACCCCTACTTCATCTGCCTCATGCTCCTTGTCGTTATCCTTCTCTCCCCCCCCTTCCGTAGCCACTCGGGCTCCAGCGCAAGCTCGGGTCAAGCTTCTGCCCGCCCCGCCGAGACCGCGCCACTGAGCCCCTCCCGCTCCACCTCCCCTCTCTGGTTCCGCCTCAGCGGCAACGCGGCGCCGCCGGCTTACTCGCAGTGCTGCCGAGTCCCGGGCTCAGCGCATGCGGTTCTTGCACGCCTTCTCGGAAGTGGAACGGCGCAGGGCCCGGGGTCTGACGAGCCTCGCCCATGCGCTCCGCCAGGCGACGGCTGGCGAGCCTGTCATTGCAGCTGACGGGGCCCGTCCTGCAGCCTCTCCAGGCCCGGCGCCCGGGGGCGAAAAGGCTGGCGCGCTATCGGCAGCAGCGTCGGCCTCGCAGCCCCTCGCTGCCCCACTATAGGGCCCCTGAGGGGGGATGGCTGCCCTGGGGAGGGACGGCGAGGGCAGGGCGGACGGTTGGCGAGGTGGAGCTGGACGTCCCTGTCGGTGCTTCCCCAGACCCCCGACGTCATGATTTGTTTCCTGACTTCGACCCCCAGGGGTCTCGACCCATTCCCCTGGACCGGCTTCTCATCCTGAGCCGCTGGCGCTCCCCGAGGCCCGGCAGAGGGCCCCCGGAGGCAGAAAACGGCGAGAACCCCCCCGCCATGATTTTGGTCATTGTCGGGAGGAAAAGAAACACACATATACAATTAATCCTCGATTCCCCAGAAAATATGGGAAAGTATGAGAAGTGGGAGGGAAGACAGAAACCTGTTTTATTTGTGTGTATTTATTTGTGTGTCCTGTGGCCCCTTCACATTGCTCGAGGGGGGGGGGTCAGGCCTGCAGCAGGCCATGGAGGGCCCCCCCAAAAGTTTCGGCCCTCGCCGCCGCAATGGGAGGCGCCGGCGGGAGAGGGCGAACGGGGAGGCGCTCGGCGTGCTCTCCTCCGCTCCCGGCCACCGGTCGCCGCGGTCGCGGCGTGTGCCTTCCCAGCGAGCGCCGTGGTCTGCCGCTGGCGTTCCTAGTCGGGCGAGGCCCTCACCACCCACCAAATCACCCCAACCCAACCCGAAGGCCTCAATGTGCCCTCCATTTCCAGTGGGGGGGGGATCGGGGAACGTCGAAAAGACACATGGTCCCCGTACCCCCCCCAACCCGAAATTCGGGTCAAATTCGTGCCTTCGGGTTGGGTTGGGGTGGTCTGGTAGGTAGTCAGTCCCTCTACGGGCGGAATGGTCCATACCAGTGAGAAACATAGTTCGGGGAGGATTTCCTGCGCATGTGTTTGTTAATAGGTTTGAATGCTTGTGGGGTGTTTTTTGTTGTTGGGCTTGATTTGTTCGCCCAAGATCCCCCTGTAGGAGGACATGCCCGACCTGCCGCTGGCGCCTCTGCTGGACGCGCAAGAGGGACTGCTGTCGGTCTGGCGGCCATCCCGCTCTCGCCAGGCGTCCTCGCTGCACCGAGCCAAACTTACGTCGGGCGTGTCTCTCGACATCAGGAATACTCAAAAATAGTAAGAAAATAGTTCGGGGGGCGATGGTTTGACTATTCCTCAGATGTTGTCGAGTATGTTTCGACCATGTGTCATTTGTCTTGCAAAATCCGCCTGTAGGGCGGACGCGCCCGACTGAAACCAAGCTGTGGGGCCTCCAGGTCAGCCTCCCACGAGGCCCGCTGTGGCCTCGGAGTTATAGACCCCTGCGCAGGTGCCGCAGTCGGGCCCCTTGCCTGCTGGATGTTTGGATGAGCGTGTACATGATGCCTGGCAACACCACACCGCTCACCCTCCGGATCTTCGCCTCTGGCTCCTGTCCAAGGCGTTCCTTTTCTTGTGCAAGCTCTTCGGCACCGCCTGCACCCCGGCCTGCCCGCCGCCTGAGGCCCCGCCCGCCTGTGCCCTGTCTCCCTAATCAAAGCTGTGCGTAGCCCGCCTAGCGTTTAGCAGAAGAGGTTCGCTCTCGCCCCGCCGACCAAACAAGTGTACATGATGCCCATCGGCCCATCGGCTTCCCACGCTGTGGGGGAACATGCTCAGGCTGCATTGCTCAGCGCTGTATGGAGGGGCTGTTCTTTGGTGACCTGTGAGCAAGCTTGCAGTCTCGAAGCATGTTCGAAGCAGGATGAGCACTGCGTTGGCTCAGGCCGTGGGCTCAGTCTTCCGTCGGTTCGATACCCAGCATCTTTCAGATTGTTGTGCTTCCGTTGTATTTCACGCCGATGTGATAAAACCGTTGGCGCCGTCATTCGCGACCAGCGTTATCGCAATATCCGCAACTCCTCCCTCCCCCCTTCCCCCTCCTCACTCCTCCCTCGTTTCTCCATCCCCCCTCCCGCCTCACTCGTCACTCATCCCTCCTTCACCCCTCTCCCACATTCCTGCCTCCCTCCTCCACCCGCCTCCCTCCTCATTCCCGTCGTCGCCTTCTTCCCCATTTTCCTCCCCATCCCTAAACCAATCGGAACACCCTAAAGCCCCCAAAGTCCTCGTTAGAACCCCAAGGCGCTTGTTGAAACCACATTGGGGCACCCTGCTCATCTTCATCATCTTCCCTCCTCCCCCCCGTCCGTCTTCTCTCCTCGTCGTCCTCCTCCTCCTCCTCATCCTCCTCCTTCTCCAGGGGATGGTTCTGGCTCGACCTCGTCACCGCAATCCCCGTGGACTTTATCCGGCG